AAGTCACTCCAGCCGTTTGTTACTCAGATTACAGGACCCCTCATTCGTGTAGTCACAGAGCGCTCTGTCGAGGTGAAGGCAGCTATTCTGCTCACACTCAACAACCTGCTAGAGAAGATCCCGACCTTCCTCAAGCCCTTCTTACCCCAACTTCAGCGTACGTTCGCCAAGTCGCTTGCCGATACATCCTCAGATGTATTGCGAGCGCGAGCAGCCAAGGCTCTTGGTACACTGATCAAGCTTACACCAAGGGTGGACCCACTCATCGCTGAGTTGGTGACCGGATCCAAGACAAGCGATGAAAATGTCAAGACGGCTATGCTAAAGGCCTTGTTTGAGGTCGTAAGCAAGGCAGGCAAGAACATGAGCGAAGCAAGCAGGAACGCCATCCTAGGTCTCATCGACAACGAGAGCGATGATTCTAATGGTAAGTTTAGACTGATTCTGAGCGTGCCTAGTGTGACTAACATGGGGCAGATGCAATGGCGATTACAAACGCTCGACTTCTGGGCGCCCTCATCAGCTGCCTTCCAGAGGATGTCGCGTCCAGTCTTCTCAAGGCTCGCGTGCTTACGACTCACTTCAACAAATCTTCTGTACTGGCGCTGAATGCAATTCTGCTAGATGCTCCCGAGGCTCTGACAGAATCGTTTGCAGACGAGACTGTGAATGTTATCTGCCAGGGTGTTGGACATTCGCAACCGTTCATCTCGGATAACTCGATCCTCGCCGCTGGCAAATACCTTCTATCGGAGAAGAGCAGCAAGAGCTTCGACCACACCAAGCCAATTTTCGAGGCTCTTGCGCCAGTAGTCGAGCCCGGCCATCCCGTCGACACGAGGCGGTTGGCGCTTGTGGTGCTTCGTACAGTTGCTCGAGAGCACAACGAATTGATCCGTCCGCATATCCCGCTCCTCATACCGGTGGTCTTCGCATCGGTGCGCGATCCGGTGATCCCAGTCAAGCTGTCGGCTGAAGCGGCGTTTCTTGCCATCTTCTCGGTGGTGGACGAAGAGACGGCCGTGTTCGACAAGTACATGGCTGGACCTGGCAAGAGCCTGTCTGCTGGTCAACAGCGCAGCATGGGCGACTACTTCAAGAGGGTTGCTATGAGGCTGGCTGGGCAAGCCAGAGAAAGGAAGGAGGCCGAGGGTGGCGCAGGCGGTCTCGGCTTGTCGAGCGACGAGATGGAAGATGAGCGAGAGATTTGGAGCGTAGGCAAAGTGGAGTTGGGAGATGTGTTTGGTGAAATCTAGCGATACTGTACAATGGGGGACAGTGTACATGGCATAAAAGCGACTGCACTAGCATTGGGACGGGAGCGTATATGAAAACGAGTCATGTTAGTATATAAGTGCATAGCGAATGGGATTTACATTGAATGTTTTGGGACCGAAGTCGAGGGTGCATGTGGTGGAGGTTTCATGGGGCTCGTGGAAGTTGTTAGGCTGCCCCAGCATCAACTCCGCAAACCCCCGAGCTCTGACCTCACGCTCTCCACGACTGCATGCTTGTCCATCAGCGTAGGCCCCGCACAACGCCTGCTGTCCTTGCCCGTCATCGGGGACCATCATTGCATACGTGTGCGACCCCGCTGGCACTCTTGAAGCGTCGCGCAGACCCCGGCGTCGCTCTCCCGCCGCCCTCAGCCTTCTCCACAGCCCGCACGCGCATCTGTCCAACGCGCGACGACGTCGCAACGCGCACATCACGACGCATTGAGCGCCACCACGGCGCGCTCCCACCGCCATCATGGCAGGCACCATACGCCCCAATGACATGAACGTCTCCACCACGCCGACGCTCTCGTCTGGCACCCTGCCCAGCCTCTCGTCCCTCCAGACCGATCTCACCAAAAAGCCCAACGCGCCGCGCGCCCCCCGTGTAGACGTCGAGCCCCTGTACGCCGCAGTCAAAGGCTCCATAAGCGACGCAGACTGGACCATCTACAAGAAAGCCCTCTCCTTCTTCCTCCTCGGCAACCTCAACCAGGAGGAGCTGTCCCACAAGCTGTCCAAGATCCTCACCACGCCCGCCCTCGAACACGCGCACAATGCGCTCTTCACGGCTATATACGCTAACATATGGCGCGACCCGCCCGAAGCAGGCATCGCCAGTTGGGTGTCGAGTAGCGATAAGCCGACTAGCGGGACGGTGAAGGGGACAGGGGACGAGAGCGAGAAGAGACTAAAGCATGAGGTTATGCAATTGAGTCGGAGGGAGAGAAAGCGGCTGAAGGGTATACCGGCAGGTGAAAGCCCGCTGACTACGGGGCTCGAGGGCTTGGGCGCGGGTGCTGCTGGGCCGGTGCAGGAGTATGTTGACGCGAGACGGGCGAAGCAGCTCGATGTTGGGCCGAGCAGCAACCAGGGCGGTGGATTTGGAAAGACGAGTACGTGCATGCCATTTGCTATACCCTTTCTTTACGCCTTAGGATGCTAACAACTTTGTCTCAGACTGGGAACTCGAGATTCGGAAACGGTATACCTCGGCCCTCTACGCCGAGACACACGAATTCCCCACCGCAACAACGATATCCTACCGCCTGCTACCGATATGCTACGAGTTCGGGCTGCCTCAGGGCCATACGTCCGATTGCCCCGACTACCTCAACATCGCTACCGAGACATACATAAAAGAAGCCCTAGCAAACTTACTAGGCAAGGTGAGCAGCAACGGCCCTGGATACGTGCGCACAGGCGAGTTCAAGAAGAAGCTCGCGCGAGAGGAAAGACTAGTAGACCGCGGCGAGCTAGCCCGAGGCATCGGAGGCGAACTCCCCGTCGAAGCAGAAGAGCGACGAAAGAGGAAACTCCTGTGCATGGAGGACTTGAGACTCGCGCTGGAACTCGGAGACTCGTACCTCGGCCAAACACCACTGATCGCGGGATCCATAATGAACTCGAGGTTTCTGGATACGCATGGCATCGAGGACATCTACAATGCGCCCGCGAAACCGCTTACGAATGGTGCGATCACAAACGGTATCAATGGTATTACGAATGGGACTAAGCACGACCTCAACGGCGAGACTTGGACAATTGATTTTGGCGACCCGATGCAGATTGATGATGAGGTGGGTATGCATTGGCAAGGAGGTAGTGTACAAGATATGCAGGAGATGGATGATGCGCTTGACGATATTCTGAACCTCGGCGATCTATAGGAAGGTCTTCAAGTTGACTCTGGCGACCCAACGCAGATCGACGATGAAGTGGGCGTACACTGGCAAGGAGACAGCGTTCAAGACGGGCAAGAGATGGACGATGCGCTTGACGATGTTCTGAACCTCGGCGATCTACAGGAAGGTCATGAAAGCGAATGATAGAGGGAAGGAGCATAGAGGCGTTTGTGAGCTTCGGCATTTGATCGGCGCATGTGGGATTTGCATTTCGGTGTCTGGGTGTAGCTATGGGATGATACCCTGTCTTTTGCTTGTTGTCTTGTTGAGTTGGTGGACGGCATTATGACTCGCGATGTATCTCGCTGAGCATTGTTACTTTTGTAGGGAATGGAGGACAGTCATATCTCATTGTCGAGCGCATGTTGCATGGATCGTCGTCATTTCATTGCATGATAGCCCGGCAATCCCATACCATAACCCTCTCGTCCCACCCCGTACTAGCACACCAGCCTTCCGCGCCGAACAAACACCAATCGACACCCGTGACGAACTCGGTATGCCTCCCCATCCTCCCCATCTCTCTACCCCCACCATAAAACATAGGATCTTCCAGCATGTTCTCCTGCTTCACACTCCCCACACCCATAGCACTCCCATCCGTCCACACCCGACACGTCATATCGTAACTCGCACTAAGCAGTATATCGCTCAAATGCGGACTCCAACTCAGCTTCCGAACCGCATACTCGTGTCCCGGCAACACAGCAACAGGCCCCTGCTGCGGCATCCTTATATCAAATGTGCGTATCACGCGATCCACCCCCGCGGTCGCGACGATAGTATCCCGATATTTATTCCAATCATGCGTCAACGCCTCCGCAGGCGCAACACCCACACCCGGCGCATGTCCCATCCTCGCTTTCGGCGGCTGATGAATCGGCACACTCATCGTCAAATGATTACTCGCACTCGCCGGCGTCCTCAGATCGAAAACCCTCAAATGGCTATCACTACTCACACTGCTCAGCACACTCGGACTGTGCGGACTGAAACTCGCACTGTAGGTACATGAATGCGTCGGTAAGGTGGTTATACTCGCCTCGGAATTTGGGTTCCAGATCTTGATTGTGCCGTCCCAGGATGAGGATAGGAAAGTGTCTTTGGACACGAGGTTCCAACTGACGGCGAAGACTTCGCGCGCGTGCTCTTGCCAGGATGCGATGGGGAAGTTGGGCACGTTTATGTCGAAGAGTTTTACCGAGCCGTCGCCGCCCGCGGTGAGGAGTTGGGATTCGTGCGCTTCCGACCAGGTGCTGTCGAAGAGGGAGTCTTGCGTGTCGAACCTGGGGACGGGTTAGCATGTGATTGGGAAGCAAGTGGCTTGTCCGATGACGACGGGGTTGATAAGTACCATTTCTCGGCTACGATGCCATTCGCTGTAAGGCCTAGTATGTACAGGCGTCCGTTTCCGACGAGCCCGAAGTTGGCGGATGTTGCGACGGCGATGCGCGAGTCGAAGAAGGGGCTGTATTTGACCGAGTAGCCGTTGAAGCCTTGGGTGCGGAACTCGAGCATCGTGGGTGGTGAAGGGGGTTGAAGGGGGGTGGATATGGGATTATGGCGCGTGGAGGATAGGTATGGTACGGCGCGTCATGTCGCGCCGGGACGTGGAGTTGGTGTTGTGCTGCAGCATGGTTGCCGATGACGAGGTGTCGATTGACCGAGGCGCCTTTGGGTTCTGGCGGGGCTGGTGTGGCGCCGTCGGGAGGTTGTCCCGTGACAGCGCGTCTGCTGTTACGCCAGTCGCCACTGTCGAGGAGGCCATTTCACTTTGTTGATGCGACTATGCGCGCCATTTTAACCCACCACAGTCGGTATGGACGCGTTCGTGTCGCGCAAGAGGAAGTGGGATGAGGGGCCGCCCAGGTCCGTGGCGAGTACAGGCAAGCGGCCTTCAGAGGCTAGAGACCCAGAAGAAGAGTCTACTGATTTCAAGTTGGCCTTACTGGCATCTTTGCATCCTACAGTTGATGAAGGGACTCTGCTTGAAGCATTGCTCGCTGCTGAGGGGGCCGTTGAACAAGCCTCGGAGTGTCTATCGCGACCTCAAGTTACTTCCCCACGCAAGCAACCCGCATCATCGACAGTGGGCTATCAATCATCTCTGAGCGCGTATCGCATTACTCCAGCCAACGGGACGCTGACCAAGAAGCCACTTGTGAGAAAGGGCAAGACACTGTTTCTCTATAGCCCAGAAGACATCGAAGTACATACGCCTTGTTCAATCATACACAATTTCCTTCCGGTAGAGCAAGCGGATGCACTGCTGTCACAATTACTGGACGCCTCGTCGACCTACGACAGGTACGAGTTCAAGCTGTTTGACAGAGTTGTTGTAAGCCCACACACGTACTCTTTCTACGTCAACAGCTTAGAAGAGGCGGAACGACAAAAGACGGAATACATCTACAACGGTGGCCAGATCGAGGTAAGACTGTCGACAAGACATACCACCACAATGCTCATTCCACATAGGATGTCCGACAAAGCCTCCCAGAAATGCTCAACGCATGCCCCCAAGTCGAAGACGCCGTCAACCACGAAATCCGCCGCAGAATCCGCGACTTCTACCCCAACGGCAAGAAACTCAGATACCAATCCCCTCACCCCTGGAAAGCCAACACCGCCTTCGTCAACTGCTACGACGGACCCCAAGAAAGCGTCGGATACCACGCCGACCAACTCACCTACCTCGGTCCACGAGCCGTCATCGGCAGTCTAAGCCTCGGAGTCGCACGCGAATTCCGGGTCCGCAAGACCGTCGCCCAAGACGACGAGCACCGAAAAGACGACGGTTCTCTCGCGGACGCACAAGGCCAAATCAGCATTCATTTACCACATAACTCGCTCCTGGTTATGCATGCCGAGATGCAAGAAGAATGGAAACACTCGATTGCGCCGGCCCAAGCTATTGATCCTCATCCGCTGGCGAGGAACAAGAGGCTTAATATCACGTATCGGTTTTATAAGGATAGCCTCCATCCGAGGTATACGCCGAAATGCAAGTGTGGTGTTTCGACTGTGTTGAGGTGTGCGACGAGGAAGAAGGAGTCGAGGGGGAGGTATATGTGGATGTGCCATGCGGGTTATGTGCCGGGGAGGGAGAGTTGTGGGTTTTTTCAGTGGGCGGAGTTTGATGAGGATGGTGAGCCGGCGTGGGCGTCGAAGGTTGGGAAAAAAGGGGCGTGTTTGAAAGGGCGAGAGCAGGTGGTAGGGACGCCAACCGACGGTGGTGTGTTGACACATGCCTCTTGAACCGACGGTAGCACTTTCTGTTCGTTGACTGAATATGAGGATTGTTTATGGATAGACCAGGATCGTAAGGCGCGACTCTCGTCGACGACGCAAGCGCAGCCGTAGCCTTCTAGCCATCTCGCATGTTTTCGCAAACAAATCCAGACCTCAACCATCGAGGTCCAACACCCACCATTCCTGGGTACCCATATTGCTACGAACGATATATTGTCTTCGACTAGCCTTACTCCAACCACCGATATTGCTACACTCGGTACATTGTAGTCAGCACGCCTCATCCCAGTCTTACATCCCAGAAGTCACCCGCACCTATTTTACCGCCACATCAGTCGACCATGCCACCTCTCTTCCCCCACCAAGCGGTCATGTTCCGGCCATCGACATCCATGCCGCAACCCAACGAAGTACTCGACAGTATCCTCACAGGCTATCTCTGGGGTTGTCTTCTGATAACCCTGTTCCTCTTCACGTACTTCGCCATCAGCTTCTGCGCCTGGGTGCTCTCGGCAGTTTTGGCTTCGATCGACACGATTGTTGACTTCGTACGGATGTACTGCGACTTTTCGGATGCTAGTACCGATGTCGAGACGATGGCTCCTATCTGGCTGGAGAAACACACGGCTGAGAGCGCAGGGCAGCTCAACAGACTAGATGAAATCACCAGGCTTAAATGCACACTACACGAATACGACACCGCCCTCCAAGACGCACACTCAGCCACCGAGATACCCATAAAACACGCGGTCAACACCCTCACGAACTTCCCCAACCTCCCCGAGAAATCCCCTACAACCCCGCCCCTTTCTTAACATACTCGTCCAACCAGCCCACTGCCTGCAAAAACGCCTGTTCCTTTGCAAACCTCGCCTTCGCATGCGACAAATCCCCTTTAACACCGAACCCATGTTCGACATCCGAATACAGGAACATTTGGTACGGCACGGTGTGGTCTTTGAGGATATCCTCTGTCTCGCGCCGCTTCTCGGCTGGGAAGATGGAATCGGTTTCTAGAGTTGTTGTTGGTATCGTTAGTGCGTTCTTTTTGTTTATGTCTTTGTCTCGACAGTTTGGTTTTTTGGAGTAGGTTTGATGAATGGAATGAATGGAATGAATGGAAGGAATGAAACGCGAATGTTACAATTGAAAGTCATACCTGCAGCAGCAATACTCAACGGCCCCCTAATCCCCCTAACTTCCTCCGCATCCACAAAACTTGGATGAGCAGTAAACCCCGCGTCAATTCCCCCATTCTTCAACCCCCCTTCTTTCAAAAACCGACATACGTACTTCCCGCCAAAACAATATCCCACACCACCCAACCTCTTAATCCCCAACTCGTCCCTCAGATACTTAATCACCTTCTCAAACATGGGATCCACAGTATCAGTCCTCGGCATAACCGTCTCAACATACTCCTGCAAGTCAAACGACTCCGGAGCCGGAAACGGCACTTCGCTCCCGTTGAAGACGTCGGGGATGACGGTTAGATAGCCGTTTTGCGCGAACTGGTCGGCGATGAGTTGGGTGTTGGGGAAGTCCATGCCGAGGACGTCGGTCATGATGAGGATGGCGTTTGAGGGGGAGGGGTTATTGGGGGGGTAGGTGGTGTATGTGCGGACTTGTTTGTGGGTTAGATGGGAAGGGTTAAGGGGTGGGGATGGAGGGAGATGTACTGTTGTCGATGTGTTTGATTTGGCCTTGTGGTGTGCCTGAGTGCTTTACGCCGATGATGCAGCATCGTTGCATGGGGTTGGATGCCATGATGAGATTGAGGGGAATTGTAAGTTGGGAAGACTGAGCGCTGTTTTTGATCACTTGTTTGTAGTTTCCTGGCCGTGACTCAGAATCTGATGATGGAGTTTAGCTATGAGTCTGATACAGCGTCGGGTGTGGGGTGCAGCTCGGGAGCGGTTAATAACAGGGGTTATTGCGCCCTAGATGTGAACTAGTGATTATTTCCGGATGGGAGCTTCCGATGCTTCTTCACCATAGATTCAAGTTACACTCAAACCAGCTCATTGCCTTAGTGGTACTGTGTTTTTCTTCGAAGTAGGCGGGCTCCGAGAGACTCATTACACATGTACTGAGCTAGCCGGTGAGCAGCACCGGAGATTTCTTGCTGCATGTTTGGTCGTTTTCTTGAAAGTATAACATTCGTAATTACAAAGCTTCTATGTATCCCATATGTACATATCCAATTCAAAAACTGGGCATGTTAGCACGAGTAACCTTGCTCTGCTCTGTGATTACACACACCTCATTTCCTCGTCTGCAGAAGTGTGACTCCTCAATGTCTCACGCGGCTGACACTTCGCCTCGTAACCCTTTCGTCCACATAACCACTTCCACGTGGGTCAATGTAGCTGGTCCTTGCTGGCCTGACAATCTCAACGTCGCTAATGCGTCGCCTGGATACACTCCTCGCCCGACTCCTCGCACGGCTCCTTGCACGTATGCGAGGCTCTTCGACGTACTCAATAGCACGGGGACGAGATCGCGATCGCCTGGATGATGTGAGTGTGAGACAACCAATGGTGCCATTGAAGTTACTACGAACCTGTACTCGACGTAACGGCCGTCGTCGCTGAAGCTCTCGACCGATGTCCGGCGCCATTCGCGCGGCAGACGCATCACGCCGGCTGGTGTATGGGACGTGTAGTTTCCTCGTCGGGGAGGTGGCTCAATGACGGTACGACCGCGCGTTTCGTAAGACCGCATGAGACACATGTTGATGGTGTTTGATGTCTTTGCTCTTCCGCAATGAGAATGGTGATGATGATGTTGAGGATGTAGGCTACCGGATGCCGGGTTCCCGGGTGATGACGTTGTACAGCGAACGACGCGACAGCGAACGAGGGAAGCGAATAGCGTCCAGAATGGGCGATGTGCGAGACAGAGAGTCAATGATGCAGGATGCGGCTGTATATCAGTTCATACTTGAAGACATCTCAACGCGACTTGCAACGCGCGGAAATGACGTGCGCCAAGGGTTTGCTGGGGCATTCCAAGGTTGTTTGGTCTGCCAGCCTCTTCAATTCGCAACCAGATATTTCCATGCAGTCAGCGGTGAATTGCAGGCATGCGCATGTAGTTCTGGGATGTATCCTTGATCGAAGGAGCTATTTGCACAGTGATCTCGGCGGTATTTCGTTCTAGACCTGGCCTCGATGATGGAATGCGATGTTGGCTGAGCATGCAGCAAAGCCAGACTATCAGCAAAAGGAACGCGGAACATGGGTGCTGACATGTAGAGCTGGTACCTGGAGTAACATGTGAAGATGTTCAGTAGCTACCCCCAGGTGAGCTGTCATGAAGGAGCCACCCCCACCTGCCCCGCGACTCGTGGCTGGTTGCTGAAACGTAGGCGGTGACGAAGCAGAGGCCACCGCCAACGCTGCCAGCTACAGGCAGACATCCTCTGCAATTGACGTAACCAATTCCATTTGCTACTCACTGTCCTCTGAACTGCGCGCACAATGTCTCTAGTATCAGGTATGAGCTCCCAGATAGCTTCTCGCAGCAGCTACTAACCGTAAACAGACGCCATCTGGGCAGCGTCCCCTTCGACAACGCGCGGTCAGGCAACACCGCTGTCCTCGGACCCCAAGGGCGAACGGATTGCCTATGCCGTGAGTCTCCCCCTTATCCAGAGCTTTCGCGGAGCTAATTGGACGTGTAGTCAGGCAAATCCGTCTTCCTGCGCTCCATCGACGACCCGGCTGTTAGTAAACAATACACCCAGCACACGACACAGACGACTGTCGCCCGCTTCTCGCCCTCAGGCTTCTACGTTGCTAGTGGAGATGTCTCGGGTACGGTCAAGGTGTGGGACTGCGCCGGTGAAGGAGCTACAAAAGGTGGGTGAGGCATAGCAGGACATAGAGCGAGGGAGCTGACGCGGTGCAGGCGACTACCACATCATCGCAGGCCGCATCAACGACTTGGCGTGGGATGGCGACTCGCAGCGCATCATAGCTGTCGGCGACGGCAAGGAGCGCTTCGGCCACTGCATCACGGCAGACAGCGGCAACAGCGTGGGCGAAATCTCAGGCCACTCGTCACAGATCAACTGCGTGTCTATCCGCCAGCAACGACCCCTCCGCGCCGCCACAGGCTCCGACGATACCAGCCTGGTCTTCTACCACGGCGCCCCCTTCAAATTCAACACCAGTCTGAGAGGACAGCACAACCGCTTCGTCTTCGGCACCGCCTTCTCCCCGGACGGTTCCGTATTCGCAAGCGTCGGCGCCGACAAGCGCATATGGCTATACGATGGCAAGACCGGCGAGGCAAAGGGACAGATTGGCGAGGGTGTACATACTGGCAGCATCTTCGGCGTGTCGTGGTCCAAGGACTCAAACAAGTTCGTCACAGCCAGTGCGGACCAGACGGTCCGGATATGGGACCCGGAAGCAGGCAAAAACATTCAGACCTGGAGGATGGGCGAGGAAGGCGTCGCTAGCATACCCGACCAGCAGGTCGGTGTGGTATGGCCCACCGGCCGCAGTGATGGTCTGATCGTCAGTGTGGATCTCGAAGGAAACCTGAACTACCTCGTCGACGGCAACCCAAAGCCAACGCGCATCATCCGTGGCCATTCCAAGAACATTACATCGGCTGCCATAGCTGCATCTACTTTCGCCACGGGAAGCTATGACGGCCGTGTCCTCGCATGGGACACCACCACTGGATTGGCTGACAAGGTCGAAGGCGCAGCACATTCCAGCTACGTCGCCGGCATCACGACTTCCGACAGCAAGAATGAGGCGGAGTTGTACAGTGTTGGCTGGGACGATACATTACGCTCCATGTCCGTTCCGGACAAGATCTTCACTGGCGAGGCACACGATCTCAAGTTCCAACCCAAGGGCGTTGCCGCGACATCGAGCACCGTGCTGATTCCTTCTACCGATGCCATCGCAGTATACTCCAAGGGGGCCCAGGTCAGCTCGTTACCGGTCAAATTCGCCCCTACCTCAATCGCAGCGCACGGCGCTACCGTTGCTGTTGGCGGAGACGACAAGCTAGTACACATCTACACCCTTTCTGGCACGGAGCTCAAGGAGACCGACACAGTGCTTCGCCGTGCAACAGCTCCTATCTCCGCACTCGCCTTTTCTGCCTCAGGCAAGAAGCTGGCAGTGGGTGCTGGAAACGGCAAGATCTACGCATTTGAGGTAGGCGGAGACTGGAAGGTCATCACGGACAGATGGAGTGCCCATACCGCACGCATTACCTGTCTGGCCTGGGACGAGAGTGAGAACTACGCCGCAAGTGGCAGTCTGGACACCAATGTCATGGTCTGGAGCACAGAAGACCCTGGCAAGCGTATCAAGGCTCTCAACGCTCACAAGGATGGCGTCAATGGTGTCGCATGGGAGAAGGGTCTCAAGGTCATTTCGGCGGGAGGCGATGCGAGCATCAAGGTGTGGAGCGTGAAGGCGTGAGACGTCAACCAATAGTCGAAAGATGAGCAAAAGAAATTAACGATTCATCATAGTGTGGATGACAGGAACTTGATTCAATTCAGTTTGGGGAGTGATGGCTAGGTTTTGAAGGACCTCGATGAAAGGTGAGGCGGTCGGGTGCTCCTGCCGTTTTCTGCTTGCATGTGATCGTGCGGCTACTTCCAAAATACCTCTCCCACTTACATTTCATGCCAACTCCTCAGCCTTCTCACCGTGCAGATAGTACTCGCATGTCGCAATCAATGTGTCCAATCACGATCATCGGCCTATCGACTGCGGTCGCAGTCTGCATGCAGCCCTCACAGCCAAAAGACCCGCGTAAGCCCCATTTGCCTAGTTTG